CTCTCGATCCAGTGCGTCTAAATTATTGTTTTAATTATTTAGATTTAACATGCAATAAACATCGTACTTAATCTTTTACGCTTTGTTCGGTGCTTTTTTTCCGTTGCCCGACACCATTCGAGGGGGGGAAATAGAATGAAGTTTACAGTCTTTAATTTCTTTTAATAGTACATTGTTTGCCGTCATCCCATCACCGTCGTCGTCGTCTTTATCGTGGAGTGATGGATTTTTGTAATTGTCGAGAATTTCACCGCCCAGCGCCTGGATGGTGACGGGAAAGCGAATCACGTGTAATTCGCGATGTAAGCCTCGTTTCGTGACGCTTTAATTCCCATGTCACATTCCTCAGGGCTCAGCTCAGCGTCGTGAGCTTTCCTACCGTCTGACACTGGACAGCACGGGCAACAAACGACTGTCAAAACTTTGTGAATGTGATGCTCAAAATATTGCTCGCCTCCCTAGCAGGAAGTTGATTTGGGAATTTGCAGCTTTTCGACACCGTCTGACTGCAGGAAAAACGACCCCTAAATGAACATTAAACGAATGACTCCGCAGGAAATTCGATTAAATGGTACCCAAATCCCAAATTTGATTGATGTTTTGATAGTTGATTGAGGCCGGTCGTCTAGCCATTTGGTTGGCTGGTCGACTGTCCCTTGCATCGAATCGAGGTAGGCCACCGCCACAATTGAACGGCCGCGTCGGAACGGGCAATGCAAATAACCGATGGCCATTGGTGGCGTGGTGATTTTGGTGGTTAGGAAATTTGATTAAAAGTTGAAATACAGCTTCGGTTTGGTGGTGGCAAATGTGTGTTAGCTTTATGCGGTCTGCTTTAAATGTAATTAAAAGTTGGAAATTCCGGAATTTTGGATCTCATGTCAGGGACATATTTATTGGGGATTTAAACCCTTGCTAGCGAAAGCGTTGTTGTAAAACCGTTCGAATGCATTTTACAGGAGTAGCGGGAATAAGATCTCTTGGCTTCTTAAAATTTCGTCACAAGAACTGCTTTCGTACGATCCTTCTGGAAATCCAACCCAACGTGTTTCAGTACCTACAGTGTATCTCAAAATTGATCGTACAGCAGTACTTAAATTTTAGAAAAACGGCTTTAAAAGCACATGTTAAAAAGATACGTCTCTGATTTTTTGGCAGCTGACTCATCGTTCATTTATCAATTATTGGCAAGTAATGGGCTTATTTGCTTGAGTTAACAAAAAGTTAGAGCAATTTAAGGAAAACGCCTTTTTCTTGAAATAAAAGAAACATAACTTCTCGAAATTTTGCTCATTTTAGTCGTAATAAAGATCATTAATTTGACACTAATTTTACTAAAACTGGGCTTGCTGAACATTTGACAGTTGTTGTTATTCACATCGTCGTGATAGTGCGCTGCTAAATTTGTCGATTTTTTATAACACGGGCTATCGTTATTCGTTTTTTTTCCGTTCGGTATACCTGTCATATTGTACTGGTTGTTAGTGGAAAGTGCAGTTCGTTGCGATAATCGTCTAATTAGAGCATATTTTGTGTTGTGAAAACAGTGAAAAAGTTATCCAATCAGACATATTGTAGGGTATACCGAGGGGGACGACTCTATCTACGATGCAGGAAATATTGTGTTTTGCTGTGGCTAGCTGCGCGTACGCTGAGTAGACAGAAAGAAGATTTATCACGATTTTGAAGATTTCCTGCAAAAAGGTGATGCGCGATGCAAGTAGATGCGAGAAATGAAAGAAGGTTTTTCGAAGATTGATTAGCTAGTGTGAGATTTTTTGAGCATCTAGAATTGAGATTTAGATGTGTCGTCCCCATCGGGGTATACTGTCTAGCATTGGGCGATCTTGAGAATCCAATTCCTCTTTGCGTATTAGAGCATCTCCACCGCTGTTTCTAAGTCACTTTTGGAAACTGAGTCAGCATGACTTCCGCCTGTGACCAATGCGCTAAACCAGTTAAGGGCGATGAAGAATCCGTCTCCTGCATGGCTTTTTTGCGACAGGATGATTCACCTAAAGTACGGGTGCAGTTTCGAACGCCTTTGGATACGGTTGTGTTTTAAGTTTGTTCTCTGTTTTGTGCGTGCGTTCGCTCTCATAGTTTTTGGCTGCAATTGCCGGATTATCACTGGCGCTCTGCCTCCCGGACGTTTATACGTGTGTGATTATTAGTTTTCTCGCTTTCCGGGAAGTTTTAGAATAGAGAAAGAAAACGTGATTCAACATGTTTGCAAGCATCAGAAGAGATGTCACGATCTGCGTTGTTTGATTTTCTCCCGGACCAGAAATTAGTGGCATCGCGAGTGATAATTTTTAATTTCAGTTTATTTACGCGCTGCAAGATGCGTGTAAGAGCTCGGCACAATCGGTGTTGATGTTGGCTCGCTTGTAACTATTTTTGTTGTGTTTTCGAAAGAAATTGATCGAAATTGATCGAAATTGTACCAAAAGTGCTTCTGAACGTGTTTCGCAGTTGGGTGTGGTGAAATTCGAGAATTCGCGGTTTATGTTCAGTGAAAATTCCTTGTCACAAATTGCTCACCGAATTTCCTTGTTTTGCCGTTCGACGACGACGGGTTTGCGAGAGAAAAATAAGCATCGGGAATTTGCTCCCGGATGTATTGATTTGGTGAGTACGTTCCAGTTAAAGATTGTTCTTATACATATCTCGATTGCATTTTCGAGGGGACGTTCGGAGAGCTTTGAGATTTAGCGTTGTTGCATTTGCGGGCAGATGAGTTGGTCGCCGGTAAGGGCCAGTAAGTGCTGCCAGCAGATGAATCAAGAAGTATTCGAAACAAAATTGATAAGAAATGTCCATTCAAATCGATTTAATACAGTTGAACAAATTTCAAAACTATATACGTGCCAGATTTGGAAATAATATTTTTTGAATCTGGAAGTGTGTTTATGATACCATTATCCATTTGATAAAGGTAGAGTGAACATGCGGGGCTTATTGTAAATAAAAGTGATCTCGGAGTGGTCGTGAATTACCAGGCATTCTGAAATGGGTCACTGGAGCTGCAATAGAGCTAACACCTTCTAACTCCCGGACTAAACCTGCTTTAATTTAAGGGTAATAAAAAGCAGTTTTCTTGCATAATAACACTGCCGGACAGTGGGGGTTAGATTGTACACACACACACACACACACACACACACACACACACACACACACACACACACACACACACACACACACACACACACACACACACACACACACACACACACACACACACACACACACACACACACACACACACACACACACACACACACACAATTTTACTAAAACTGGGTTTATTTGCTTGAGTTAACAAAAAGTTAGAGCAATTTAAGGAAAACGCCTTTTTCTTGAAAAGCCTTATTTTCTTGAAATAAAAGAAACATAACTTCTCGAAATTTTGCTCATTTTAGTCGTAATAAAGATCATTAATTTGACACTAATTTTACTAAAACTCGTCCACTAGGTAAAAAGTTGAAAATCGATCGTTTTCCTAAAAAATTCTAACTCCATTCAGGATTCTCCAATGAAGACCAAAATTGTAGCAATAAATCAATAGAATTCTTTTAATTGTTTTGTGAATTAGGGAGCTCGGTGGCCTTGTGCCAACCACTTTTGCTTACTGATCAGAAAATCATGGATTTAATTTAACCTCCTTCACATTATAGAATCATACTTTAAATCGAATTTCTTTCATAAAATGATGTAGAACGTAATGAAATTCAGTTGAAGGGTGGGATACACAAAAGAAGTAGTATTCTAGTTTAAGGAAAGACGTGTTGATTGCAAATCCATATCAAATCCTTCTCAAGAGCAGTTGTTGTCGTCGTCGGTGAGGTCACCACCGGGATCGAAACCTAATAACAACAAGTTGCACTTGATCGTAATTGTTTTGTGATATAAGGAGTTCGTTGGCCTAGTGGCGACCGATTTTACCCACTGAGTAGAAGACCGTGGGTTCAATTCCATGCTTCAAACGCATTTCTTATTAACAAATTCCTACTTCCTGCGATCTGACTCACACCATTCTTCCGAAGGATCCCCGCCACCCTTCTTTTAATTCGATTCACATTCAACTTTTCCTTTTCCGACTACTTCCACCCTCCAAAAACGATCCAAAGCAAACCGATCTTGCACCAAGCTGGAAAAACACCGCGAAACTTCACACCACTGTCCACCTTTGGTTGATTTCAATTAGCCAGTCGTTCAACTATAGTTAAACTTGCTTCTTTCGCTGCTATTATTATCCCCCAGCAACAGCAGCACAAGTACATTACCTGGCGTGAGCATTTTTCTACTCCATCGGGAATCACGTACTTCATGCATGACTAAAAAATACCTTGTAAAAAGCAAACTGAAATTGTTGCCACCGGAACCCGGAAGAAGGAAAAAAACCGGGAGGAAACTTTTCAAATTGAATTTTAACTTTGCTCCGCAACTATTTTCCCACATGGCAGGGCGCTCATTTTCCAAACCTCCCCAGGAAGGTGTAGATAAGAATGTATGTTTGCCATTTCGACTAGGGTAGCACTTCTTGACCACACCGTTACCGTCGTCGTCGTCGTCGTCGTGGGCAAGGCGCACCGGGATCCCGGAAGGAGCTACTAACTACCAGCCAAAGTGCAATTACTGTGTGAATAATAAAGTTGTACTTGCTGCTGTTTCGGGAGTTCCATCCGGGGTTCTCCTCTCCGGTGGTGGTGGCACAGTGAATATACTCGGACACGGTAGGAAGGAGTTTTCACACCTTTCTCGCTCGCTTCATGCTTAGTTTATCTCACTTTGTACATCTCCCCCGAGTGTGTGTGTGTGTGTTTGGGTGAGTGTCTGTATGTTTTGTGCTTCATTATGCATGCTAATGGAGGGGCGATGGTCCCAGTCGCAGTAGCCCCGGATGAACTGGACGAAAATTTACTCCAAATTAAATTCCATCGAAAAACTTGAAACTAATTTGAGGTGTTTTTGTCTGCTTTTTCTCTTTTCAGTGATACCAGTGCTGCTCGTCGGTGGCCAGCAGCAAAAGTTTCGGGTGATGCCCCGGGATCTCCAGGTGCTGGAGGGTTCCGAGGCGCTGCTGCGATGCGAAATTCACAACCTGGCCGGAGCGGTCCAGTGGACCAAGGATGGATTTGCGCTGGGTGAGTTTGGGGAAAATATTTGGGATCTTTTTGATTTTAAGTTTGAGACTGAACAATAATTTACAATCAACATACAATCACCGCCTGTCCTCGTAAAATATTTTTTTAAGGACTGAATTTAGTCAGGGCTATATTTCCCAGGACCCAGCCCTTGAAGTACCGTAACATGCCAACAACGGTCACATATGAATTCAAAAACATGTTCAATGATAGTTTTATCAAGTGTCTTATGCCACATTATTGGTTACTTCTGGACCCCGGTTGGCCCCGGGGAAGTGCTAAATTACTGACTATGGTCAAAACCAGGGTTGTTAATCGATAACCGTCGATAACGTCAGCAAGCAAACTCACCATGAGATTTCCCATAAAACAAGATAATTCAGATATAAGACCAATAGTCGTTAAAAGAGAGAACTTCTGTGAACACATGTAAGATCTACAAGCTTTAGCAAAGTGCTGAATGAGCTTCAATAAAGTTCTATGAGCCTCAGGTAATCTTGTAAACTTCATAAAAGAAGAGAAGTTCAAAAACCTTCAGAGAAGTTCATTGAACTTCACGGAAGTTCTTCAAACTTTATGAAAAGTACTGCAGACTTCAGGAAAATACTTCGATCTTCAGTTCAACAAACTTCCGAAAAATTCTGCCAACCTCAGGGACATTCAGTATCCTTCTGGTAGGTTTAAGCAAAATTGTATGAGCTTCAATGTATCTCAGTAAACTTCAGGAAGGTTCTACATTAAAAATTAAATTTCTTCAAGCGTTAGGACAGATTTGCAAACCTTAGGTACGCTCTGCAAACCACAGGAAAAAATAAAAAAAAAAACATCAGGAAAGTATTGTGAACTTAAAGAAATATCAGCGAATTTCAGGAGAAACATGGCAAATTCAGAGATGTTCTGCGATCTTCAAAGAAATTCTAAGAACACCACGAAAGCTTGATATTGACAACAACACAGGCGATAATGAACATTAATCCACGATTGAACTAAACCAAATGTTGACATAGAATGTCAGCTGTTGCCTTGATCAAGAGAATGTGGTCAGGTAAAAACTTACATTCATTCAGGTAAGTAGTTGGTTTATCTTATAAGGTTGCCTTGAATTCTGCTTTTTTTTTAGCAGGGATGCAAGATTTAAAGAGATGTCTTTATTTTGAAGACTTTTTAAATTATGTTAGGACATTTTGAAGACTTTTAATATTTTGGAAGCATGTTGAAAACATGTGGAAATCGAGAGAGAATCTCGAAGGGTTTTTTTTTAAATTAGGTAGACCATTTTTTGGAAAAAATAAATAGCTAGAGACAAACACTTAAGCTTCATGTTAGATAGCATTTCCAACCAACTCTCAACATTTCAAATTAAATCCTTTGAATATTATCCTGCCCCGTAACTTGGGTAGATCACCTTTTCGTGGTACGTTACGGAATGTAAGATCTACCACCGATTCCTAGTCCTGACTACTTCAAACTAAGGGAACAGGATTTTCCAGTAATCCAAGGAACACATCTTAGTCCTTGTTACTTTTTATGCCTTGTTGATAGTTCCCTAGTTTGAAGTGGTTAAGACTAGGGTTCTGATACATGCTCATCACCGGTGTCATACCTTAATTTTGTTGCTAAGGAATCCAATTTTGACTGACAAAGGGGCACGCCTTTCGAGGGTGTTTCAACCAGTGTTGGGAAAATATCAAAAAATCAAATCTCACCAACGCCCAAGATCACGCTTGATTTTCGTAGACAAAAATCAACAAGCAAACAACTGCGGTTGGTTTTGCAAGCTGTGATATCGCAGCTCGGAATATCAAGCTAACAAAACTCACCAGCTGCAATTTTCAACAAACTGTGGTGAGATTGAATTTCATGATTTTTGCTTTACACCCGAATGTCACCGAAACTTCCATAACGGCTGGCAGCAGTCACTTCGTGTCTTCCATCGGTGAAGAGTAAAAAGAGATAGCAAACTATACTTTCTCTTTCTAAGAAAACGATGTGCAACGGAATCATTTTTGTGTCGAGTCAACTCTCAGCTTGATTTTTGCATGTTGTGAATAATCTCGCAATATCAAAGGAGCTTGTAAAATCAATATCAAGCATGATATTTTGTTCCAATATCACGCGTGATATTGCGAGCGCATGAGAGCGGAAAAATATCAATTGATTTCTGATTTTGCCAACACTGGTTTCAACATAAATAGCGGGACCTTTTTAATAAGAGTCGGATCCTTGCGATAAATGCAAGAGTGGCAACTATAAAAAAAAATCGAATACTTCATCATTTATCAATAGTGATGGAGTAATACGACATGCACTAAACTAAGGACACGGGATATACTACAATAGATCAATTTACTGGTCACAGTAGTGTTAGGTCCCGAACAGAGGATAAAAAATCCTACCCATATCAGGTTGATCAGGAATTCTTCCGAATCACCAGAAATGATTTCAAAGACCAAAGACTGATCGGGAAATTGAAATCGAGATCTCCATATATTTCTTTATCATATCAAATTAATCAGACTTTCTTCTGAAGATTGAAGATATTTGGTCAGTTAGAATATATTTTCAAAATATAAGGATGATCAAGAATCGTGCGGTAGACCTTTAAGTGATCAGAAATTTAAATTAAATCGTTTGAATATTCTCTCATCAAATCAGGTTGATCGGGAAATTGAAATCGAAATCTCCATATATTTCCTTATCATATCAAATGAATCAGAAATTCTTCCGAATCATCAGAAATTATATCGAAGACCTACGACTGATCGGAAATTACCCTTACTATGGGTATTTTTGGAATCACAGTTCAGAGACGTGTAGCGACCGGAAATCCATGCCTGGCGCTATTTTGATATCCGGGATGGCGGCTTCCGTTTAAATAAATTCTGTCGAATACACCTTATGAGTATTTTAGGAATCTTGGTGACGTGTAGGAACTGGAAATCGATGTCTGACGCCTTTGTGAAATTCAAGATGGCGGCTTCCAGTTACTGAAAAATTGAAAAATAATATCAAATACTCCTCAATATGGGTACTTTTGCAATCGTGGTGATGTGTAGAGACCGGTTATCCATGGCTGACGACATTTTTAATTCAATATGGTGGCTTTCGGTTAGAGAAAAACTTGGAAATTCTGTCCAATACCCCTCAATATGGGTATTTTTAGAATCGGAGTGACGTGTAGGGACGGAAACCCACCTGTATTTTTCTGTTTTACTGTAACTGGAAGCCACCATATTGGATTTAAAAATAGCATCAGGCTGGATTTCCGGACCCTGCACGTCACCCCGATTTCAAAAATACCCATATTGCGGGGTATTTGACAGTGTCTTAGTTTTTCTGTATTTGGAAGTTACCATATTGGATTTCAAAATGGCGTCAGACATTGCTTTCCGTCTCTACACATCAACACGATTCAAAATTATCCATATTGAGGGATATTTGACAGTATTTTTATACTTTTATCTAACTGGAAACCGCCATATGTTTTACAAAGAGGCGTCAGATATGGATTTCTGGACTCTACACGTCATCCCGATTCCAAAAATACCCATATTGTGGAGTATTCAACAGAATTTTCAAGTTTCTCTTAAGCCGGAAGCCGATATCTTGAATTTCAAAACGGCCTCAAATATCGATTTCCCGTCCTCACACGTCATTCTAACTCCAAAAATACCTATAACTGGGGTATTTGACAGAATTTTCAAGTTTTTCTCCAACGGGAAGCCGCCATCTTGAATGTCAGTAAGATATCAGACATGGTTTTCCGGTTCCTACACTTCACGCGGATTTCAAAAATACCAGTTTTGTGGGGTATTTGGCAGAATTTCCAAGTTTTTCTCTAACCGGAAGCCATCATCTTGAATTTTAAAATGGCCTCAGACATCGATTTCCGGTCCCAACACGTCACCCCAATTCCAAAAATAGCCATATTGAGGGGTATTTGACAGAATTTCCTAGTTATTCCCCAACCGGACGGGAACTCGGTAGATGATAACGGTACCATGGGCATAATACCGGTGGAAACAATTGCAGTCTTCTCCGCAAGTTCTGTGAATTGGGAGATGTACAAAATGCGATTACGAAGCATCTTTACAAACTATGGCGTCACTGATGTAAAGAAGATGATGATGATGATGGTCCCACCTCTTACCCCTACAAAGGTTTGAGCTGGACGATTTATCTTTAAGATAATTAAATATAAACATTTTAACCAGGTTAGCAAACAAAAACGAGCTGGTTACAGTTACAGATATAAATTCCCTCTAGACTTTACAGTTGCTTCACAGCAATATACATAAATGTGAAAAAGCTTAGGCGTCCACCTCTTAGTTCGCCTTTTTGTCCACCTAGAATATTCATAAGTATTACAAGCAATCAAGAGTTAATGAACAATCAACAAAGCATCCTATACACTAGCAACCCCGCAATGATGCTATTATAATTTTCAGCAATGTCAGGAATGCTCACGAACCCCCGACATTCAGCCAGAAAACTTAATACTAACTCAAAGTATCTTCCAAATAAGCTTCAAAGTTGCATTTTTTTTATCAAATGTTAAATTCAGTCCTCTATATCCGTAATACGCGCGCGAGGCTCAAACCTTTGTAGACTACTACTTTTTTTTTTTTAACTACTACTTTAATTCAAATATAAAAAAAAATCCATCATCACCATCGTGGCGAACAAAATAGTTTTTGCAGTGCTACAATAATTATTAAAAAGTCGTTATGACAGCTATCCATACAAAATAATCCGTTATAAATAACTTCGTCAAGATACATACTTCGTCCATTCATAAAAAAAAAAAAAAAATAAAAATCACTGGATAACTGTTCAAAAGACAGTTTTAACGTGTGAAATACAATGTCTCTTGAATTCTGCTAATGTTGTTGCACGTTTAATATGTCTAGGCATCGAATTGAAAACATTTACTCCTTTAAAATACAATGAATTCTGTGAAGCGCAAGTCAAGAAATGTGGTGTTCTTATTTCATCCGCGT